TAAGTGCCCACCCCAGCGGCTGACAGGTAGTGAGCAGAGGTTTGATGCAGTGGAGAGGCTGCTGGGCTGTGATCTGGTGCCTCCAGAAGTGAGTGCCCATCTGGCGCCTCAGGCTTCTGCTGGGGGAGTGTGAGTGTGTGTGTGTGTGTGTGTGTGTATGGAGGGGTTGAGCCTGGGGATTGTGCCCCTCACTGTCTCTGGCGCTGGGGGCCATACAGGGCTCACCCAGGCCTGGAAGCCACTTCTCTGTGTCGTGGTCTCTACCATGCCGCTCCAGCACTTGGTACCAGCCTCGTTTAAAGCCCGCTTTCCTTTTATTGTTCCTGATGGGTTTCTCCTCCTCCTGGTCAGTCTCAGTCACCAGAGTCCCTTCTTATTCTGGGTCCTGGCACCGGTCCTGACCCTTATTAGCCCTTAGGGAGCAACTCTGTGGGTCTTGTAGGTTTCCCTTCTCCCAGTTCATGTTCTCTTGTCTGATTCTGACCATCCGAGGGTCTGCTGATAGTGTCCCTGTGTGAGTGTGTTGTGTCCCCTGTGTGTGTAGCGGCCACCCCCCACCCCCCAGCTAACCCGGCTGACATTCCCCAGGACAGTCCCCCCGGCACCGCATGGAGCCCATGGACACCATCTTTGTGAAGAATGTGAAGGACGATGGCCCCGCCCACAGGGCAGGGCTTCGCACAGGTGAGCTGTCCCAGTTACCAGGCTCCCTGCACCCCTCTGGGCCTGGTGGGATGCCAGGAGCTAGATGTTGGGGAGACTCCGCTCCCGGCGCCGTCACCCGTTCCTGGCGCAGGAGGGCTCAGGTCGCCCCAGGCCTCCTTACACGCGGCCTTACCCCCTGTCCTCAGGAGACCGGCTGGTGAAGGTGAATGGGGAAAGTATCATTGGCAAGACCTACTCCCAGGTCATAGCTCTGATCCAGAATAGGTGAGTGGCCCCTGCCTGCCCTTCCCAGAACAGCTCCCAGCCGACCTTGACCCCCGGCTGCCTGCCCTGGGACCAAGATGCCGGTTCTCAGCCCAGGTCTGATGCTCTGCCCTGTCTCCTTAGCGATGACACGCTAGAGCTGTCCATCATGCCCAAGGACGAGGACGTCCTGCAGCTGGTGAGTCCCGCCCCTGCTCTCTGAGGCTGGGGGTGGGGGAAGGGCTGGGGGATCTTCTCCTGCTGAGAGCAGAGGGATGAGGGTCCAGAGTGTAGGGGGGGGCAGCACACCAGCCCAGCATTGCCCAATCAGGGATGCTGGGCCCGTCCCAGGGCTGGGGCTGGTTGCTTCATTCTGGCAGCTCCGTGTGGTGGGGGAGGGGAGCTGCTGGCGTGGCAGGCGGGTTCCTGCCTGGGTATCTGGAAGGAGGTGGTTCAGCGGGCCCTGCCAGCCTGTCACGTTCTCGGTTCTTGTCAGAGCCCCAAAGAGATGCCTGCTCCCCACACCCTGTCCCTGCCGGGGCTCCCGGATCGATGAAGCCTTTCTCCCATCCGTGCACCTGCCTGGCTCCCTGCACCCACTTACACAGCACACCACGCCGGCATCCACCACTCGATACCACAGCCCACTGTGTCCCCTTCACATGGCAAGCCGTGCCACACCTCAGTGTGCCGTAGTGCAGGCCCACGGCCCACCACACATGCCACGCCAGGCCCCAGTGCCCACACGGGCACCTGAGCCCACAAACCTCGCTCCTCCCAGCACCACAGCCCTGCATTGCCTGGCCCGGTGCAGCACATGCTCCCTGGCTCACGGATACTGCCAGAGCCCAGATGTGTACAGTCAGGACCCCCAGCTGGATCCCTGCCTGCGTGGCCTCCTGTCAGTGCACACAGTAGGCTCCTGAGCCTGTGTGTCCCTTTTTACCACACACACAGACACGCATGAACACATGCACAAACGCCTCATCTCTCTGTCTGCTTCTCTCCCCACCCCAGCTCTGACCCAGAGCCCAGGCCAGTCCTCTCTGCCTGGTCTCATGGGTCCCAGCCAGATGCCAGCTTGCTTGCTTCCTGAGGTCACTGCCCCTCCAGGGGAGGGCCGGGGGGCCAAGCCTGGGAGGCCCTGGGAGCCACCGCCAGGCTGGCTTTGGCCCAGAGGAGCTCTGGTAATCACCGTAATCACAGGGCCATGCTTGGCCCGGGTCCCTCTGGGAACCTCCACCCCCTGACCTCAATCGGCTCCTGGTCCTTCTGGGGAGCGGGAGGTGAGGACAGGGGTCTGAGAGGTGGATGGGCCACACCAAATCTCAAAGGCCTAGCCTGTGCACCTCCCCCTGGCTGAAATGAGGTGAGCTGGCGGGGAGGGGGCACAGGGTGGGGTCTTGGCCATCCCGGACTCTCTCACTCTCTCCTGCCGGCAGGGGCTAGGGGTGGTAAGGGCAGCAGCCTGGCACACCGCGGGGTAGCTCGGTGGGCAGGCAGCCCCGTGGCATCAAGGGACCTCCGCCCCCCTCTCCCGAGGGCCCG